TCAGCCATGATGACACCTTCGAGCTCCACCCGTGCTCGAGGCAAGCGAATCTAACTTCTTATAATCTACCGATAGCTACCAATGAACTCTCAATATCAATTGATCAGACCTTGATCATCCCTTGTTAGATTATTAGACGATTGACTCGACTAACTCGAACAACTTTCACTGTTTTCAGTCTTTTGAAAGAATTAAGAAAATCCAACGAATTTATGATTTTTCTCAGCTCCTCAGAGACAAAATGAGTTGTTTTTTATTCACATGTTATCGAGTCGAGTTAGTCGATGAAGGTATCGACTTCGACTTTTCATCGACTGACTGACTGACTGCATCGACTAACTTCGGTATCTAAAAACAAGTTCTTACCTCATATTTCATGTCCATTCTTTTCATTTTGAACGAAAGCTCATAAAGATTATCCAAACTTTCTCGAGACAAGTAATTGATTGAGACCAAATTAACAGTTAAATAGATCGTCAACAGAGTGTCATGGATAGTATAAAACATCCAATAAATATTCATTGATGATCGACCACCGAATGCATCGACAATATTCATTATGTTATAACAAGCATATTGAAGGTAGAAAAAGGTAACGAAATAACGAAAATAATTTTCCACTGATTTAGTGGCCTTAACAGCATAACTGTAATATCGACGGCAACATAGCAATGATTCCAAATTAATTGATTGATTATTTACCAATGAACTAACCTTTGAATTGACTAATTTAAATGCTGCTTGTAAATGAATACAAACATCAACGATCTCTCTCAGGATAAAAAAATAAATAACTGACTGTATTGAAAGCATAATAAAATAAAAAACTTTCCTCCAAACCGGATTACTTGACTTTTCAACAAAACCGCATAAAAGAATAACAAATTTAATGATTAACAGAGTTAAAAATACGATATTTTTGTACAACTGTTTTCGAGTTATGAATCTTTTCAATTGATGATCTTGATGAACACCAATTGCATATAAATTGTCAAAATAAGAAGCAATTTCCTTACTTTTAACCAAAATTGAAATGAGGATGAAACGTGAAGCAGGTAAAATTATATTGAGCACGGTTCTACACAAAGCATATACATCCAACTTCGAGTTCAACTCGAGATTACATGCAAATGAATACACTGTGATGTTAAATATCGTACTAAGTAATTCTGCCCAAAATAAGAATAATCGCTGATAAGTTCCAAAATATAATTCCTTGAGAAGACCATTCTCTTGGACTGGTTCTACAGCGTTCATTATTTATTTTAAAGATTAACTAAAAGCACAATAATGAAATCAAACAACCTAACTTCACTTTTTTAACTTTTATTATAACGCTAATATGAGGGAAAACATAAGATGAATCTTGATCTTTTTCAATCGTATTTTGATTTCTTTTAATGAGAATGTCCATTAGTGTTATTGAAATAATCCCGCTTATGTTATACAATCATTCTCGTTTGTTTAGAACCAACTTTCATATGAACACAACCAACATTCAAAAGAGTAAAGCCGGCTGACTGTAAAGTCACAGAGTTTTCATAACAACAAAACCGCGTTCAAATGACCAAAACTCATTTTCATAAGACAAAAACTCTCGAGTTAAAGAAGCATCTTTATTCAGGGTGTAGACTGTTTCGTCAATTGTTAATTGCTTCTTTTCTGAGGCATCTTGGAATATAAGTTAACATTTTGATAAAGGAGGGTCTCCAGAAATCTTCACTTTTTTATCCTTTTGAGTTAAGATGCGGAACTTTTTTTTTAAGTAGAACTTTTCAAGCTGAGTTCAAAAATAATAACAATTTTTATCTGAGATTAATCGTTTTTGAGTTTTTGAAGGTCAAAGTGGCCGACTTTTCGGGTCGTTTGGTCTCTTGTTGATCAAGGCTCGAAGCTGATTCTTAGGATATCAATAGTTCATGATTAGGCCTATCAAGTGGATTTTTCAGATTGTCTCTACAATGCTTCATTATCTCATTATCTTGCTTTGAAAATATACGGACAAACGTCCCGCTCTGGCCGGCAGTTGATCGCAGCCACTAGAAACTCAATATGTATCACTAGCACACGAGGTTTAATAAAAGTGATTTTCAATATTTTGAAAATACACTATTATTCAACAGAAAAATCGCAAGCGAAAACTCCATGTTAAATCCCATAGAAAAATTTTAAAGTCGATAATCGGTTACGAAAGTGCTTATAATACATCAGAAAGGATCCATTATTACCCTTAAACATCAATACGAAAATAAATCAAAGCTTGTTTTCGAGATATTGCAATAAAAGTTAAGATTTCGTTCTTCGCTTCTTCTAGTGATAACTTTTCAATAAGACATGCTAAAGATATTATAATTGATATTCATAACCACAAAAGTAGATAAAATATTTTTTGTATCTCAAGGTCATTCAAGGTAAATATTTGTACAAGTCAAAATTGTGTATAACAACTCTTGATCGATAATAATAGGCCGATTAAAAATGAAAAAATGAAAGGCTGATGGAGCAAAATATTTTATTTATTATTCAAATCAATCAGTCATCAAAAGGTTTTTAATATTATATTTCAGTCGTCTTCATCATCAGACTCGTATCTTACTGTCAAGGTTGACATTGGTGCTCTTGTGATCTTTATGCTTTCTTGGTGCCTTGCATAGCCTAAATACCAAATAACTGTCGCAATATGAGCGCAGCATCCTATAGTTCTCATGCCATTTTTGCATGTACAAATATAATGAATATTTAATGGTGCGTGTTTGTCGTAAAGAACATAAGCTAGGTACTTAGCTGCATTAACGTGCCTAGATTGTATTCTGGCTCTAATAAGAACTGGATCAACTGCTTGTATATTGGTCCCACTCAGGTCTAATGGTCGCAAAATATCTTTATAGACTTGTATAAAGAATCCTCCATTGGAAGATACATGTTCTGCATAGTAACCATATGCTTGCTTTATTTGATAGGACCCAAGCGTGAAATGCATTAGCTGATTGAGTGTTAAGACTGGGAATGAATGATGAAGATTTTCACCGTCTATGTTGGCCCACTGACGACTCTCTTGAACGTATCTTTTAAATCTACGAACGATTTCTTTCATTGGATTGTCTGGAAGATTGCGTCTCTGCATTTCAGAAACAATATCAAAATCAACATCTTTGTCTGACTCAAGCCGTGAACCAAACTTATTGAGTAGAGCACAGGCTATTCTGAAGTCTGTAAATGCATGGTCTAAGGCTTTATTTTGCCATACATTATTGAAGATTCTATAAACAGACTTAACTCTACCATTGACATCCTCGACTGCGTATCGAACTTTAGTTACTATACGAGAGTGATTTGCCTGTTCTGTTGTGAAGGAAGATTGATTCTTATTTAGTAAAGATGGCATGTAAGTTTTGAATCCAGCAGTGATAAGTTGTTCTTCGACATATCTGAATCCTCTATCCAGTACGAATATGTCATTCTGCTGGAAAAAATTTTGAAATGAGTCATAACCCATTAGCTCTGACATTATAGCAGAGTCATTTTTTGAAGCTTCATAAGGGCCTGTAACCTCTAGAATATAACCATCAGTAGCTATTATAACCATTGGTTTAAACAGGTTTCGATATTTATGTGGAGAATATGAGGCTCTCTGAAAAGGGAAGTTGGCACTTTTCTGATGATACACATAAGTACCATCACAAACAACAATCAATTTTTGTGGATCTGAGTCAGCAAGAAGACCACTGGCGATGTGCGTATTGTGTGCTAATGCATCTTCTCTCGTAATATTGTCGAAACCAATGTATTTAGGTACGAACTGAGAGTTCAGAGCATCTCTTGCTTGAGTCACATAACTGTATCCAGTTGAACAGGGAATGCCAATAATGTCGAATATTCTTTCCCATGATTCGCCAGTTCTTAGCTTTGCAAGATAACAAGCTACTGCTCTCTCAGGGAACTGAATATCGGTGCTAAGCTTGATTTCGTTTGTAAGCTCTATTAATTGTCGCATAGTGAGTGAAGTCCATCTTCTTGAAATCTCATCGGATATTTCATCACATCTTCTGAAGGTAAAACGCTCTTGAATTTTATTTGGAAATGAAAAAACATCTTCGATGTCTTCAACTGTGAATTGTCTGGTTAAATAAACTTGGTCAATAAACTCAATGGCGCCAAAAAAATCGTGATGTTTGCAGATTCTTGCCATAGCGTTTACATAGATGTTTTTATTTTTAAGAAGATAGATTCTTTCAGCTAGAAGAAGGTTTCTAGCATTTGCACGACCTGGCCATCGGCAACCAAAGACGCAAGATAGTCTTGGGCACTCAACCTTCTGATACTTGGTCAATATTGTTGGAGCTTGAACTAAAGGGGTTTGTGCCTCATCTGAGTCGATCTCCATTCTAGCTTCACGTCTAGAAGGAGGGGCTGGAATCAACTGTAAGTTCAAATCCGTACGCCGCCGCGTTGAGCCTGAATTAGATGAAGAGGCATAAGATACTGGAGGGGGCGGCATTGACAGTTGATCTCGCTGCGATGATGATGTGGTAGCTTCCGATGAGTCAGAAACTGATCCAGATGATGCCGATGATGTAGAGGCTACATTTGAACTATATGAAGCACTGGATGTGCTATAGGCAGAGGAAAGTCCTTGGTCACTATCATATGCTTGCGCAATCTGGACTCTTCTTTGAGACAACTGTCTTTCCCAATGATTGAATTTAAATCTACAGGACCTGCACATATAAGATGTTTTTGGCACAGTTGAATCCTTTGAAAGTTCAGGATTAAGCCGCATGAACTGTCTGAGATTTGTGCGATCTGTCGAGCTCACTAAAACCCTCCTTTTGCTCGTAACAAAAACATCACATATTGCACATTTAGATCCCATCTTGAGAATGTAAAGGTTGGTAAATGCTGCGAGAAAAAACAATGAAAACAAAAGAAAATAAAAAAAGCTAAAAAAGTCAAAAGTGTTAGAGTGCTTCAGAACAGAACAGTTATTGCGATGACGCATGCTTACCGACAATATGTAAAAAAACCAATAAATATCAATATTCGTAAGCTGTGATGGCAAAAGAGCAATAACAGTGCGGCTCAAAAGTTACGAGGAGAGTAATGGTTGAAGAAATAAAAAGTTGTAAAATGAAGTTTAATAGCAAACTGGAAAACTGGAAACTGTTTCCTCATTAGTTGATGCTGATACAAATAGACAAATAGGATTTCTTCTATACAGATACCTTATCAGCCTTTCATTTTTTCATTTTTAATCGGCCTATTATTATCGATCAAGAGTTGTTATACACAATTTTGACTTGTACAAATATTTACCTTGAATGACCTTGAGATACAAAAAATATTTTATCTACTTTTGTGGTTATGAATATCAATTATAATATCTTTAGCATGTCTTATTGAAAAGTTATCACTAGAAGAAGCGAAGAACGAAATCTTAACTTTTATTGCAATATCTCGAAAACAAGCTTTGATTTATTTTCGTATTGATGTTTAAGGGTAATAATGGATCCTTTCTGATGTATTATAAGCACTTTCGTAACCGATTATCGACTTTAAAATTTTTCTATGGGATTTAACATGGAGTTTTCGCTTGCGATTTTTCTGTTGAATAATAGTGTATTTTCAAAATATTGAAAATCACTTTTATTAAACCTCGTGTGCTAGTGATACATATTGAGTTTCAAGTGGCTGCGATCAACTGCCGGCCAGAGCGGGACGTTTGTCCGTATATTTTCAAAGCAAGATAATGAGATAATGAAGCATTGTAGAGACAATCTGAAAAATCCACTTGATAGGCCTAATCATGAACTATTGATATCCTAAGAATCAGCTTCGAGCCTTGATCAACAAGAGACCAAACGACCCGAAAAGTCGGCCACTTTGACCTTCAAAAACTCAAAAACGATTAATCTCAGATAAAAATTGTTATTATTTTTGAACTCAGCTTGAAAAGTTCTACTAGAAAAAAAAGTTCCGCATCTTAACTCAAAAGGATAAAAAAGTGAAGATTTCTGGAGACCCTCCTTTTGACTTATTAATTGTGATTTACCATCTTCAATGGAAGTTCATTGGAAAAATCAGTGATAATCGTCTTTGCATACCCTGAATAAAGTAACTCTTTAACTCGAGAGTTTTTGTCTTATAAAAGTAGGTTTTGGTCATTTGAAAGCTGGTTTTGTTGTTTTGAAAGCTCTGTGTCTTTACAGTCAGTCGGTTTTACTCTTTTGAATGTTGGTTGTGTTCATATGAAAGTTGGTTCTAAACAAACGAGAATGATTGTATTATATGTTCACAAAGTCATAGTTTCCATTCAATAATCAATATACCTGGAAATTCACCTTTAAATAACAAAGATATCAATCATACGGTCTAATACATGAAAGATGATAAACTATAACTTTTGTCATTACGAATATTCAATGATCAATCTTTTCATTTCTAATCAAATCAATCAAATGAATGAAATTCACAATAAATAAAATTATTCATTTCTAAGTTTTGGGTTAACTTTACTTCGACTCAATTGAATTAAGTTTCATTTAACAATTGAATAATCATGGGGATAATTGTGTTTTCCGAAAGTTTTTTTCAAAAGAAGGGTCTAAGTTTCGCATCGATTTCTACCTATAAAAGCAGTGTTGATAAATCATGAAATCGATTCATCTAAAGGCCCCTAGGAAAGACTTGGAATCAATTGTAACAAAACTTTTATTATGTGCCCAGACAAAATGAATGCGACTCTGATTAGAGCTTCGTCTATTTTCAGGTCGAATTTCTTTAGACGCTAATTTGTCTCATGTGTTTTCTTTCGAGATTTCATAAGTTTCATATTTAGTAATCAACTTTTTTTAATATTTAATTTGCATTTTTTAATCAAAAATTACATTTAGATTTCTACAACTTGAAAAGATTTTTCGGGTGAATGAATGGTTTCCCTGGTAAAGTCGCATTATGAGAGGGATTAATGTAGCTCAAAATAAAAACCTATCCTTCAATTGAAACTCTAGCTCGTTGTAATATACTCACAATTATGGTCATGGATGATTCAGGAATGAGCAATTAAGTAATTTTTGTCAGCTTTGGATGCTTGTTTTGTACTGTTAGTTCAAAATTAATGTATTAAAAGTTATACTCTTACAAAATTAAGTCCAAGTGTTTGATTTAAAAAACATTGACTCTAATTACATTGATCACATCTCTTGATAACTTGATGATTTTGAACATTAAATTATGATAGCTCAGCTAATTGGGAATGGATTTTTTTAAATCAAATGCATTTGATCATTGAAATAAGTCACTTGATTCTCAGTTGATTGGCATTAAGTTACTGTTGAGGAATTGAAAACTTGGATCTGTTATTAAGAAATGAACCTAAATATTGAAGTGTTAAAAATAGGAAAGAGAAATGATTCAATTTATTATCCTCTTTCGCAGTTCTGTCTGTTCCTGTGTCTATCTTGAGTCAATTTTCATGTGAAAGTCTATTCTTTATTATTTTTTGCAGAAAAGGATATTTTAATTCACTTTGGGTTGATTGGGTAATTTGGGTAGTTAGGTAAACTAAGATTGAACCAGTTTTGTTGGGTAACTCAACATTTTAATAAACAAATCTTGTTGAAGAAAAGATACTTTTTAATTATGAAGACTTGAAATTGAGAGTTACTATGACATTCAACAAAATTCAACAAATCATTGAAAAGGCAACTTATTCAAAAGGTATTGCAGGTGCTATTTTCATGGTACAATGTAGAAATGCAATGTTAAAATAAATGGTTATTAAGATTTGTTTTAAAGTTATCCATTAATGTTCGATGATAGACTCCGATACTAGATCCATCTTCACGTAGCCAGTCGACTTTTTATCCTTGCCATTGAAATGAAAGTTATAGCATTTGTTTTCCTCTGTAACAATTGACTTGACATGATCAAGAACCATGTTTAATGCAATAACAAATGCCATTTGTCTCTGTTCCTTAATTAAATTGTCTACATTCAACTTATCGATATTTTTAATTGTAAAATCTCGTTCGCATTTAGCACGGATAACTGTATCAACTCCAGTAAGAGTAGCCAATGACCACCAAATGTTAGCATGGCAAGATAAATGTGATACTCTCGGCCCATTGAACTTTTTGATCAAAACAAACTTCATTTCGTCAAATGGTTTATCCAGTTCTTGTTCACTTTCAACACAACCCAAATATCCTGAATGTAATATTTGGTGAGACCCAATCTTTGAATGAAAAACACCATAAAATGAATCCTCTTCCCTTCCAGAAGTACCCTGAGAATGATTGCTATTCTTAGTAATCAAACGTTGTAAATTATTTGCAACGTACATCAATTTATTGCTCTGCTCGAAACGTCCATCAATCAAATCTTTTTCCCCAGTGGAAGTGATCTTATTAAGTTCAATCTTTCCTCTGATTTTGACAGCAGAAAGGTTCCAATCGAATTCATAATATGGAGAAATCATGATATCTTTCAGTACACCATTATTACAGATAAAATCGTAATGCAAGTTGCGCACGATTGTTTCATTCTCCAGAATCCATCGAGATAAGTATGTTCTTTTTGACAGTTCATATCGATACTTGGTATTTGGATCATATCCTTGAAGGCAGTCGATAGAGACTGGATTAGGTATTAAGTTCAAATACCGAAGAGCTGATTTATCTGGACAATAAACACTTTCATTTTCATAATTGCAATAGAGCGAGAAATATCCAAGTCTTTTTGGTCCTTCCAAACTTTGGTTAGGGTTTGTCCGGGCACATTTTAGGTCCAACTCTTTTTCCACAAAAGTATTATTTCCACTTGTAGACAACATTTTAAAGTTAAAATTTTGATTATTCACTTATAAATTGAATGTAAAATGCACATAAGAAAATACAAACGAATGCATTGAGTTTGACGGTTCTTTTAACTTTCTTTGCGCATCTAATTCCCATTGGTGTGATAGATGAATATACGGTTAATACCTAATTGTAATCTTATCACATCGATGGCAATTGGATGCGCAAAGTAAATGAAAAGCACCGTCAAACTCAATGCATTCGTTTGTATTTTTATCTTCACCACAATTGGCTTTCAGAGGCTTGAGTTCACTAATAATTTAAAAGATACGGTTAACTGAAACAGCGAATAGTGGATTCCATAACATTAAGCTGAGCCTCCGATGTTTTTTGAAGACTGGATCTACTGATAGCTGAATCTTGGAGAATTGAACTTTTTGATCAAAACAAATTTCATTGCCTCAAATGGTTTGTCCAGTCCTTCTTCCCTTTCGACACAATGCAACCATCCAGCATGAAGGATTCGATGTTATCCAAGTGAAAAACACCATAAAGTGAATCATTTTCTTTACCAGAGCTACATTTAGGGCAATTTTTGTTCTTTGTAATCAAACGTTGTAAATTGAAAGCTGCATAGGTTGCTTGGTTATCTCTTTCAGACTGTCTAGCAATCTTTTCTTTCACCTCAATCGTTTCGTTCCTATTAAGAACAATTTTTCCTTTGATTTTGATAGCAGAAAGGTTCCAATCGTTATCATTACATTTTACATTCATATCTTTTATTAAACCATTGTTAACGATGAAATCAGAAGGAAACTTTTTCATTGTTTCTTCATTGTCCAAGACCCATCGCAATAAGAGCATATCTCTAGAAATAACATGACCATACTTTACATTAGAGTCGTACCCTTGTAGACAGTCTACATTCACTGGATTGGGTAAGTCCAGGTACCGTAGAGATGATTTATCTGGACAGTAAACACTACCATTATTATTATCATAGCACGAAAAACTTCCAAGTCTCTTTGGTGCTTCCAGTACAACATTATCAAGGTGCATTTGCTTAACATCCAACTCGTGAATGACGATATTTCTTACTCTCTCAACGACTCTTCGGCATGCAGTAGGACCCAATGAGTAGCAACTAATTGCAACTCTCGCGAAATAACAAAGGCTATTTAACGAGTAAACAAAGAAAATAAAGAGAAAGTTTCTCTGAGAAAGAATGAACTTCTCTCAAAGAAAATTGACTTATCCAAAGGATCGCATATCAGTTAAGTGCAGTTTCTAAGAAAACGAAGGAAAAAAGAGAAACAAAGATTAATCATAAAAGGAGTCACATAGCAATCAAGCCCAAAGAGTTCTTTGATCTTGTAATGTAATATCAATTCAAAGTTTCACCATCATTTGTAAATGTAATGTCCAATGTAGTGTTGTTATGATTTGGTATTTTTAATTTCCCAAACAAATATTATGATGATCTCACGAAACAATGGCTGAAGTACAAATTAGCATTGACGATAGTAATTTTTGTTTGATTCATCTAGGTTATGATCTGTCTTGACAATCAACGCTTTATTATCCAAAATGAAGTATGAACCCACATTTTCGTGAAAAACAGCATAATCTCCATCTTTTCAAGAGATGCATTTAAGGACATTGGTATTCGCGGTTATCCAACGTAATAATAACAATTTCTTATGCTATACTGTATAAATTCAAAATTTTTTAGTCATCTGTAAATGTAAAAATGAAATATTCAAGTTTATTGTTGCTGTAAATTTAGTGCTTTTTGACTTTTCAAATCCACAAAATATTAACATAACCTTAAAAAACAGTTAATGCAAAACAACTCAATAGCACTTTTTGTTTTTTAGTTAAGTAATGTTAGTCAGGTTTGTATTGACATTATTTTTTATTGACTCTTAAATCTGTTAAATGTGAACATCTAATGTTTGAATAAATGATTATTAAGATTCAAGAGGAAGTTGTTCATTAATATACCAAAATGGAATGAGATCATCATCTAGATCCATCATCATGTATCCAGTCAACTTTTTATCCTTGCCGTTGAAATGAAAATTATAACATTTGTTTTCCTTTGTAACAACAGACTTGAAATGATTGAGAAACATATTCAATGAAGCAAGAAATATAATTTTTCTGTGTTCATGAACTAGACTGTCAGCTTCAAACTCATCAATATTTTTAACTACAAAAGATTGATCACATTCAGCACGGATAACTGTATCAATTCCAGCAAGTTTAGCCAGTGACCACCAAGTGTTAGCTTGATGAAATGTATGTGATACTCTCGGACGATTGAACTTTTTGGTCAGAACAAACTTCATCTTATCGAAAGGTTTGTTCAGTTCTTTATTACTTTCAGCACAGTCCAAATATCCCGAATGTAAAATTTGATGAGAACCAATCCTCGAGTGGAAAACGCCATAAAATGAATCCGCATCTCTTCCAGAAGTACATTTATTGTTGTTCTTGGTAATCAAACGTTGTAATTTCAAAGTTGCATAAGACGATTTGTTGGTCTTTTCTGATTCTGCATCAATGATTTCTTTCTGATCAATCGATTCAATTATACTTAATACGATTTTCCCTCTGATTTTGGCAGCACAAATGTTCCAATCGTAATTGTTGTATGCAGAAATCATCAAATCTTTCAATAAACCATTGCTGCAAATGAAATCGTAAGTAAAGTTGCTCAAAATTGTTTCATTTTCAAGAATCCATCGCAATAAGTTTGAACATTTTGGCTTTTTATGGCCATACTTGATGTTTGAATCATATCCTTGGAGGCAGTCGATAGGGGCTGGATCAGGTAAGTCCAAATATCGAAGAGCTGATTTGTCTGGACAAAAAACACTTTTATTTTCATTATTGTAATGGAATGAGTAATATCCAAGTCTTGTTGGTCTTTTCAAACAAATATTATTGTTAGGTTTAACCCTATCTAAATTGAACTCTTTAACAGAAGTAAACCCTTGATTCACTGAAACCATTTCAAAATATTTATGTTTTTGGGTTGAAAGTTGAATTAAAACTAGAAATCGTTTTGATCCTCACAACAAGTAACGAAGTAAGTTGTTAACTAAACATCTTTATTAGAGAGTCAATTAGTTGAACCAGCAATCACTAAATTACTGCAAGCAAGTGAAACATTAACGCCTATGATTGTATCTAAACATTCCAAAGTGAAAACATGACTGTTGGATGTTTTAATTACGTTTATGCAAAACAATTTAATTCAATCTATCATTTCATCTTTAGCTTGATATCTATCAATTTGATATTTAATGTTAGTTTTATTGTATAATTGAATTGCATGAACACGAGAATCAAATCTCATATCAACGCAATCTAGCTGGTTAACTAACTCATATATCATAATTAACTTAAAACTTGAACAAGACTGTGAGAAAAAAGGAAACGAATGTTTATTAATTGAAACTCAAACCCTATGAAGCTTTTATAGCTGAAGTGATGAAAATTTAAATGGCGATTTGATACTCGATTTTATCAGAAATCGAGTCCCGGATTCAGAATAAATCACTGATAAAGAGACTGATTGATGATTCACATTGTAGACATTGAATTTAACTTGATCAAAAATCAACAAACAGATGAGAGATAATTCAGAATATTTGTATTTAAGTTCAAATTATAATTACAATTAAAAAGAGTAAATCATAATTAACTTCGAGCTACAATGCACCTGTGGGAAAATGTTGGTAAATTAGTTGAAATTCACTTCCTTGCAAGCTTTTATAGCTTAAGAGAATAAAATGTAAATTATTAATACTTGAGAAATCAAACCCTAGATTAAGCGAAAAGTTAGGAAGTTGGAGTCTTTGATACACTACCTGAGTTATTTGAGTTATCTTAGCAAACCTTATCTTCGAATAAAAAATCAGTGGAAAATCTTTCTTAACTATCCATATCCATATAAGATGCCAAAAGGTAAGTTTTTAAATACTAGCTTCTGTATTTGAGGCAATAAATTTTTAACTACTCTTCTATATACTTTGACTTAAATGTCTATTTCATTTTAGTTTCGTGAAAATTATTTTCCAACAATTGTAAATATACAATTTCTAAAGGATTTTGCACTATAGCAAAATACATGGGTTTCAGGAATCTCACAATGCAAATAAAAATATCTTATATATTATATATAATATATCGACAAAACTCTTTCGGAAAAGAAAATGCAGAAAAGGATATTCCAATGGAGGTTTTTGATAATGAATTAGAAGAAATGGAAATAGATTAAGAAATCTTTTCAATAATTATTCTTGTATATTTTCAACTTTGCATTTTTACAATTCTAAATTTTAATTTTGAAAATTGTTACCGACTAAATTTTTGCAAATTAATTGTTATTTATAATTCTTTCTATGTGTAATTTAATGATTTTAATAACAGATTTCAATGTTCAAATTTTAAATTTGATTTAATATTAATAAAAACATAAACCTGAGTAATCAATGAATTTATTTATTTGAAGCAATAAGCTTTCAACAAAATCAAATCGATGCTTTACTGGCTATTTTACGTGCTGTTTTGAAAGCAAAAAATTGTCAATCCTAACTATTATACTTACAGTTGTTGATAGTGATCATATCTTTCATTACACCATTGTAAAACATGAAATCTGAAGGAAACTTTTGTACGGTTGCTTCATTTTCCAAGACCAATCGCAATATCTCTAGATAAAAAATGGCCCTACTTTTTACACTGTATTAGCGTCGTATCATTGAAGGCAGTTAACTGGGTTGGGTAAGTCCAAGTAGCGTAGAGATGATATATCTTGACTGAAAACACTATCATTATCATTTTAGAACATGCAAAATAGCCGCGTCTCTTTGGTCCTTCCAGTGAAAAATTATCATCTCGAGCGAATTGGATCATATTCTTGGAGTCGATAGACACTGGTTTTGGTAAGTCTAAGTACCGTAGAGATGATTTGTCTGGACAATAAACGCTTTCCTTTTCCTCATTGCGATAGAATGAGAAATATCCAAGTCTTATTGGTTCGTCCAAACAAATATTTTGGTTTATCCTGACACATTTTAGGTCCAACTCTTTCTCTACAAAAGTACTTTCACTTAAAGACAAAATTTCAAAGTTAAAATTTTGATGATTCACTTATAAATTGAATGTATAATGTACTTAGTAAATAAGGAGACCTTTAATCCTGATCATTTATTCCACAGCGAATGGCTTTTAAAGAATTGATTCATTAATCACTATTAATGAATAGTTGATTTCATAATATAAGCTGAGTTGCCGATGTTTTTTGAAGGCTGGATGGACTGATAGCTGGTGAATCACAATCTAGTGGCTAACATAATTTGTATTTTAATTATCGTCATTAATCCTCTAGTCCAAGTTAGTTTTACATTGACTAAGTTGGCTAACAGCTAATTGATGATTAATTTTAACCAAATTAGCAAATGATTGTGGACTTGGAAAAAAATACTCAACGTCTATCAGATAGACTCTATCTTATGATCTCAACGGTACATGTGAGTTTGAAACATGCTTATTGGATGCTAAATTTTGTGAAAATGATTCAATTTATTATCCTCTTTTGCAGATCCTTCTATTTCTCTGTCTTGAGTTAATTTCAAAATGAAAGTCTATTCTTTTTAATTATGGCAGAAAAGGATATTATAATTTACTTTTGGTTGATCCGATGATTTGGGTAAAAATTATACCAGTTTTGTTGTCCTACTTAAAATTTTGAATAAACCGACTAACAAACTGACAAACTTGTGAAGACTTGAAACTGAAAAATAACACAACATTCAACAAAGTAAATTAACAATAACTCTTTGATAACAAAAAATAATTTATTCAAAAAATACTTGCGGTACAATGAACTATTATGCAATGGATTAAGATTTGCTAACAAGTTTTACATCTGTAAACCATGAAGGAATCAGGTTTTCATCTGGTCCTATCTTCATGTATCCAATAAGCTTTTTATCCTTACCATTGAAACTAAAGTTATAACATTTATTTTCTTCAGTAACAATTGTTTTGATGAAATCCAAAACCTTGTCCAATGAAGCAACGAACGTCATTTTAAATCTTTTGTTGGTTAAAGTATCAACTTCCAACTTATCGATACTTTTAACTATGAAATCTTTATCAAATTTAGCACGGACTATCGTATCGAGTCCAGCAAGTTTAGCCAATGACCACCATGTGCTACTTTGCCAAAACGAATGCGACTCTCTTGGAGCATTGAACTTTTTAATCAGAATGAACTTCATTTCCTCAAATGGTTTATCCAGTTCCTGTTTACTTTCGACACCGTGTAACCATCCAGCATGAAGTATCTGATGAGAGCCAATCTTGGTGTGAAAAACACCATAAAATGAACTCATTTCTTTCCCAGAAGAACATTCATCCTCATAATTGTTTTTAGTAATCAGCCTTTGTAAATTAAAAGCTGTATAAGTCGATTTATTGTTGATATCAGATTGATTGGCAATCCGATCTTTCAGTTCAATCGATTCGATCTTATTTAATACAATTTTCCCTCTGATTTTGGTCGCGGAAATGTTCCAGTCTAAATCACAATACCTAACAAGCATCATGTCTTTCATTAAACCATTGTTAACGATGAAATCAGAAGGAAACTTTTTCATTTTTTCTTCATGGTTCAAGACCCATCGCAACACAAGCATATCTCTAGAAATAATATGGCCATACTTTACATTAGGGTCGTATCCTTGTAGACAGTTGATATTGACTGGATTGGGTAAGTCCAGGTACCGTATAGATGATTCGTCTGGACAGTAAACACTACCATTATTATTATCATAGCATGAAAAACTTCCAAGTCTCTTTGGTCCATCCAGTACAACATTATCAAGGCGCATTTGCTTCACATCCAACTCGTGAATGACGATATTTCTTACTCTCTCAACGATTGAGTCCATGTTGCTGATTCAATGGCGTTGGCACTTATTTAAATTGAATTTCAAAAGATTCGTTTAAGCACAATTGTAAAATGGTATATACTGTATTAAAGATGAATTCACTAAGCAAATTCACTAAACAAAATTACTTCTTTTATATAAAATGTGATGGTACATCATGTGGCTAAAAGGTAAACTCTAACGTCTATCTAATGATCTTAACCAAACAGTCAAAGGTGAAAACATGGCTGATTGAATGCTGTGTTTTTGTTTATACAAAATATTCAATTTCTCTTTGGTAATAATCCGTATAACCAATTTCTAGAATAAAAATCAATTATATTAATTGTTCAGCTTTGTTATCAATAGATTTAATTTGATTAACTCAATACTTCATTAGGACTGTGGGAAAAATTGTTTAAAACTTTAATTTCTAAACAGATTAAATTAGCTGTAAGTGGCAATTAGATACTTGATTAAAGTCGTAAACAGTTTAAGGTTAGAGATGAATCACCTTTACCAGGAAATAAAGCAACTCAGCTCATTCAATGTCGAAGAGTCTGGTGATCTAATGGTTAGACCCATGACTAAAGCGTTTTGACCCATAAAGTTGACCATATTTGCTCCGGTCCTCCTCAAACCAGGTTTATCAATAATAACTGTATATTAAACTTGTTTAACGATAACTTACAACTAATTGCTTGTGCACTCAAGACTTAATTACGAAGATCAACACTTTTTCATTATTACCATCACTCTGAAGCTCGAGGCTTAACTGAAGTGTTCTGTAGTAATGAAACAAAAAATTCATCTTTCGTTTTGTTCGATTATTAGATTGTAAAAATTCAAATCTAAAATCGTAAAATCTTGTTAACCTTCAACTCAAAAAGTTATTAAAACTTCAGAAAGAGCAGCCAGTGACCACCACGGGCTACATGTACTTTACCAAAGTGAATGCGACTCTTCCGGAGCATTAGCTTTAACCGATGAAGGTGATTTTGTCAGAACATCGAAAGAGCTAGTTCTTGTCTACTGCCGAGACAATGCAGCCATTCAGCATGAAGTATTCGATGAGATCCAATTTTTGTGTGAAAAACATTAAGTGAAACATTTTCTTTTCCAGAAGCACAATTATGATCATTGCTGATGTTAGAAGTCAACAAAATGATAATCAAAGCACTAACACAACATAACGATAATACGAAGTTGAAACAATATCCACTCGATCAATAAAAAACTTTAATTTTTGTTGGCTCTTTAATCTGTTTAATGCGAAAATACAATATTCAAATACATAATTATTGAGATTCAACAGGAAGTTGGTCATTAATATACCAAGATGGAATTAGATTATCATCAATGTCCGTCATGTATCCAGTCATTTTTTTATTCTTGGCACCGAAAGAAAATCTATAACATTTATTTTCCTCTGTAACAGTTGACTTGATCTGATCAAGAACCATGTTCAATGAGGCAAAAAATACAATTTGTCTGTGCTTAAAGATGAGGTCCTGAACTTTCAACTTGTCGATTTTTTTAACCGTAAAGTCTCGTTCGCATTTGGCGCGAACAAGTGTATCAACTCTAGCAAGAGTAGCCAATGACCACCAAGTGATAGCATGAAACGGTGTATGTGATTTTCGTTTTTGAGTATTGTACTTCTTGATTAGAACAAACTGCATTTCTTCAAAAGGTTTATCCAGTTCTTTGATGCTTGCAACACAACCCAAGTATCCTGAATGTAAAATTCGATGAGACCCAATCTTTGTGTGAAAAACACCATAAAATGAATCGTCTTTCCTTCCAGCAGTAGAGTGAGAATGGTTGATATTCTTGGTAATCAGTCGAATCAAATTATTCGCGACATACGTTGACTGGTTTTCCTTTTCAGGACGTGCATCAATGCTTTCCTTTTCCTCCACAGAATTGACTCGATTTAAAACAATTTGCCCTCTGATTTTGGTGGCGCAAAGGTCCCAATCTCTTTTATTATGCATGACAGTCATCATTTCTTTCAACAAGCCGTTGTTACAAATGAAATCGTAATTATAGTGGCGCACAATTGTTTCATTTTCAAGAATCCATCGCAACAGGTTTGAACCTTTTGGCTTTTTATTACCATATTTTATATAAGGGCTGTATCCTCGAAGGCAGTCGATGTAGACTGGGTTAGGTAAGTCCAAGTACCGTAGAGATGACTTATCTGGGCAATAAACACTTTTATTTTGGTCATCATAATAAAACGAGTAATATCCAAGAATCTTGGTTCCTTGCAAATATACATTTTCGTCCTTTTCTTGACACAACTGATCCAAATGTATTTCACTGATGACACTAGCACTTTCTGTCTGGACCCTCGACGACATACTGTTGAATTGGTCAAGTATAACCTTTAAAAGTATATTTATGTTACAAAATACACTTATCGTCTGTTAAAGACAAAGTCACTGTAAATGAGTCTAAGATGTGGCAACACAAAACATTTATTTCTGTTACAACAAGGGCTGAGATGTGATACTCTCTTCATCTCACATTCAATGTTACCCGATATAATATCCCATTTCATACTGTATTATACATTGAGCTATTGGATCAATTCAAAATTTAGTTGTCATAAGTAAATGTAATTCAATATGCAAATGTCGTTTTACTATAATTTGGTCCAGGTCCAACTAGGTCCTCATGTATAGCGCCATTACAGAGGAGTGATTATGCCAATGGCCGATACCGCTAAGCTGTCTTTTGTAACAATTGTTACAGAATCATTTAGGAGAGCAAAATACAATCAATTTTATTGGTATCTCAATATTTCAAAGAAATTAAAAAATGTTGTACCGAATTTCCTTTTTAATCGCTATTACAGCAATCAGCAAAATCAATTAGCAATAGATCTTTATCAAGATGTGTTAGGAAGTTGTAAATCAATATACCATGAAGGAATGATGTTTTCATCTGATCCCTTCCTCACGCACCCAGTTAACTTTTTATCCTTGGCATTGAAAGAAAAGATATAACATTTATTTTCTTCTCTAACTATTGCCTTGATAAAATCAAAAACCTTGTTTAATGCAGCAACAAAAGTCATTTGACTGTGTTTGTTGATTAAACTGTCAACTTTCAACTTATCGATACTTTTAATTGTGTAATCCTGTTCACATTTAGCGCGAACAATTGTATCGACTCCGGCAAGTTTAGCCAATGACCACCAAGTGCTACTTTGAAAAGCAGACTGTGACGCTCTTGGAGCATTGAATTTTTTAACTGCAACAAACTTCATTTCGTCAAAAGGTTTAACTAATTCTTGCTTGCTTTCGACACTGTGTAACCATCCAACATGAAGGACTCGATGAGACCCAATATTTGAGTGAAAAACACCATAAAATGAACACTCTTCTTTTCCAGAAGTGCATTTATGACCATTGGCAGTCTTGGTAATCAAACGTTGAAAATTAGAGGCCGCATAAGTCGATTTGTTGTCCTTTTCAGATTGCGTATCAATGTTTTCTTTCTTACCAATCGATTCGATCTTATTTAATACAATTTTCCCTCTAATTTTGGTAGCAGAAAGGTTCCAATCGAAGTTATTAAACTTTAAGGTCATAATTTCCTTCATTACACCATTGTTGCAGATGAAATCCGAAGGAAAATTTTGCACGGTTGTTTCGTTGTTCAAAATCCATCGCAATACGAACATATCTCTAGATACAACATGACCATACTTCACATTAGGATCATAACCCTGGAGACAGTTGATGTTGACTGGATTAGGCAAGTCTAAATATCGTAGAGCTGATTTGTCTGGACAATAAACACTTTTATCATTATTTTCATAACAGGAAAAATATCCAAGTCTCTTTGGTCCATCCATTGGAACATGATTGGGTTTTTCTCGGCACAATTGATTCAAGTCTAACTCGTGAATGACGATATTTCTTATTCTCTCAGCGATCGAGTCCATGTTGCTAATTCAATGTTGTTGGTACCTATTTAAATTGAATTTCAAATTTAGACTAGTTTACTCACAATTGTAAAATGATATTTAAATAACTCATACTGTATTAAAGGTGTATTCACTAAGCAAATTCACTTAACGAAACTACCGATTTTATATAAAACGTTTTTTATTTGTTACTGCAGTTAGGGTTGAGATAACGAGACTCTTGAGTTCACTCACACTATTTGCAGATTAGCGTAATGTTACCATGGGTTGTTATCATTAAAAGATCAGAAGATTGATAATGATTCAATGCTAGCTAAAACTCTGTTGACAGGGATTAGTAATCAATCTAATGATTTGATCGTATCTTGAAATAACGAAAGAACAATATAACAAATAACAAAGAAAAGAAAGAGATTCAAAATTTCATTGGGAAATGTAAAAATGAAATGTTCCAATGTAATTCGTAATTAGCGTAATTCGATCCTTTTCGACTATTCAAATCCAGAATATATTAGCATCACCTTAAAAAAGCATTTAATGAAGTACAATTCGATTGCCCATTATTCAGTAAAAATCTTGTATTGAATCAATAGCCACTCGTCATATCGATTCAAATTGTCATAGATCATTCTGGAATGAGCAATTAAGTTGTTATTGTCATGTTTTTATATCTGTATTGACATGGTTGTTATTTCAAGATGAATGGAATGAAGTTGCAGATGGAAATGACAAAAGATGAAACTGTTTTCCACATTGCTGCTACCAGCTGCACATATTTAATTCAATGCTAGTTACTATTATTAATAATTACATGAAGTACTACATGTCCCAAAATATAACAATAATCAGTAGATTAATAGAACTTGAATTTTCGTTCTTGATTTTTTAATCTGTTGAATATGGAAATACAATGTTTGGATAAATGATTATTGAGATTAAAGAGGAAGTTGTTGATCAATATACCATAATGGAATGAGGTTTTCATCTGCATCCATCTTCATGTACCCAGTCAACATTTTATCCTCGCCGTTGAAATGAAAGTTGTAACATTTATTTTCCTCTGTAACAACCAACTTGAAATGATCGAGAATTGAATTCAACGAAGCAAAAAATGTCATTTTTCTGTCTTCATTGATTAGATTATCAACTTCCAACTTATCGATATTGTTAACTACAAAAGATCGATCACATTCAGCACGAATAACTGTACCAACGTCAGCAAGAGTAGCCAATGACCACCAAGAGTTAGCTTGAAAAATAGAGTGTGAGATCTTTGGACCATTAAACTTTTTTATCAAAACAAACTTCATGTCATCGAAAGATTTTTTCAATTCTTGTTCACTTTCAACACAGTCCAAATAACCGGAATTCAAAATTCGATGAGACCCAATCTTTGAGTGAAAAACGCCATAAAAGGATTCCCCTTCTCTTCCAGAAGAACATTGATTGTTATTCTTCGTAATCAAACGTTGCAAATTTGAAGCTGCATAAGTTGATTTGTTGTCCGTCTCTGATTGAGTATAGATCCTTCTTTCCCTCTCAATCGATTCGGACTTACTTAGAATAATTTTACCTCTGATTTTTACAGCAGAGATGCTCCAATCAAATGAGTAAAGTGAAGAAATCATCAGATCTTTCAATAAACCATTGCTACAGATAAAATCGTAATCGAAGTTACGAACAATTGTTTCATTCTCCAGAATCCATCGCAATAAGTTTGTACCTTTTGGCTGTTCATGTCCATACTTGGAGTTCTTGTCATAACCTTTGAGGCAGTTGATAGAGACTGGCTTGGGTAAGTCCAAGTACCGTAAAGATGATTGGTCTGGACAATAAACACTTTCTTTTTTCATCATTATAATAGAACGAGTAATATCCAAGTCTTGTCGGTTTGGTCAAACGAATTTTATCGCTTGTTTTGACGCTTCTTAGATTCAACTCTTGCACAAAAGTAATACCTTTATAAAATGAAAACATTTCAAAAGATTGATAAAGCTAGTAAATATTAGTTAAAGTAAAGTTAGAGTTAGAAGTTGAAGCACGAAAGTGTTTTGATCTTTACAGCAAGTAACGGGATAAATTGTTAACTAAACATCATTTAAGAGAGTCTATCAGCTAGACAAGCAAATAATTAGTACAGGTTAACTCGAACGGCTATCTTATGATAGATTCAAGAATCAAAAACTGATAAATTGAACTGTATAATGTTTACATAAAAATTTTTGTGCGGTCCATCATTTCATAATAAGAGAGATTAATATCATTATGATATTTATTGTTTGTTATATTTAATGATTGATATTTGAGGATTAAATTGCATGAATACGATAATCAAATCTCACATGAACTCAATGTAGTTGGTTAACTAATCATATAACATGATTAACTTTAAACTTCAACAAGTCTGTGGGAAAAATGTAAAACAGTTGAAACTTAATTCCTAAGTCTGATATGAAGTCATAATTTCTTTAAACGAACCCATGATACAGATAAAATCGCAATTAAAGTTCCAATTGTTTTCAAGAATCTATCGTAATAAGTTTGCCCTTTTTGACTGTTTATATCCATACACTGGTGTTCTTGTTATATCCTTGGAGGCAGTGGATTGAGACTGGATTAGGTAAGTCTAAATATACAAGAGATGATTTGTCTAAACATTAAACACTTAATGAATTGACATTGATTGAATACAAAAGTGACTTTTCAAAAACAGGACTTCGATTTATATACCGAAAGTTCTCGATGAGACCCAATATTTGAGTGAAAAAACTATAAAATTAATCGACTTCTTTTTCAGAAGCACATTTATGTTTATTGCTTTTCTTGAAGATCATCCATGTTCAATGAAGCAAAAAATATCATTTGTCTGTGCTTAGAGATTAGACTTTGCACGTCCAACTTGATTTTTTTAACCATCAAATCTTGTTTTTAACCATCAAATCAGCCCGGATAACTGTATCAACTTCGGCAAGAGTAGCGAATGACCACCTAGTATCCTCATGCATTGATGAATGTGATTGTTTCGGAGCATTGAAATTTTTTGTTAAAACAAACTTCATTTATCGAAAGGTTTTTTCAGTTCTCGTTTACTTTCAACACAGTCCAAAAATCTCGATGAGACTCAATCTTTGATAGAAAAATGAATAAAAAAGACGCTAAAAATACGTAATAGTTATCGTAAAATAGTAAAACAGTTTTCGGCTATACAATGAAAAATTTATTTATTTAAATTTTGTTTTTTAAGATTTATCAACTATTACAGGGAAAATTCAATTTATCCAAATAAATGTCATCACTGAAAAAACTTAATAATATTTAGTCTTTTTGGATACTTGGTACAAAAATATTGCCAACTTTATCAGTCAACAAAGCGTCCAACTCGGCAACCTTGCCAGCATTCAAGGTGTTAGTCCTGGATAAAATTAATTTCCCGACTGTGATGATAGGAAAGTTAAATTAGTATCAACACAAAATCAATTTACATGAAGAAACATCTAGTTAGTTGGCTTGAGTGATACTTACAGAGAAATTCAGTTTGAAAAAGCCAACATAGATAACCAGCCAGATAGTTATCGTAATCAGTAGCAACTACATTTAAGGAAAGGTAAACTGGAGCCTCTGGAAATGGAAAAATAAAAATCAATTGTTAAATTGTCAAATGAATGAGATTCATCATTTAAATATAATATAAAGTAGGCAAAAATTACTTACCTTTTGTCACATCAAAATAGATGTTAAGTAAATTTTGGTTATCAGTTCGTCTGCCGTACCAAATCGCGCTAAACTTTTCACCACTAGATGTTGGATGAATAATTTGAATTACAAAAAATTGCAATCATTGAACTGTGCTTACTTACGTAGTCGTAGTACCAGGAACTTTAATTGCAAATCCTGCATCTTCTCGAGGAGTAAAAGTCCATGTATCATTTGATGTTAAAGTTGTTCCATTAATTTGATACCATTGACCCGCAATCTAAATCAATTAAACACCAAATAAATGGATAAAGTCAAATGTATCGACTAAACACAATAAGTTATTATGAACTTACTTTGTCAATATCGGCACCAGGAGTAGTTTCAGGAACTGGACAAGTGAAACCAAAAGCTGAAGAAGCAAAAGCAAAGACAAAGAAGAGAGTTTTCACGATCATTTTCATAGTTTTAGTAAAGGATTAGAAATTAAATGTTTTTAATGAAAATTGTTGATAAACTGCTGCTAATGTGTTTGGCATCACTTTTTATACTTTATATCATCAGTTTATCAAATAATTTCATACAATTATCGAAATAAAAATCTAAGATAAATTAATATTTTTTAATACCGATCAAGAAAAGACCCCTTCAAAACAATGAAAATGCACTCAGAGTAAAAAGATAGTACATGAATTTCATGAGAAGGATATAAAGATAATATCCACTATCATGTGCCAAATTAATAAACAATACGATTCTGTTCATTTTCTTTTTTTAGGTAAGATCAAGGAGATTATTCTCATTTGTATTGTTACCACTTTGAGTTGTAACCAAATCAACATAAAGATTAGCTTATTGATTGACGTAATTTTCACCTCGCACATTTGGCCCTAATTCGAGTCCATCTCTTTTAGGACCTTTAGAGACAATGAAGCCATGAGGATATTTCGCTAAGATTTTAATGAAACTTTTTAACGAATCTATTAGCACTGACCCTAATGAACCTAATGAATCAAAGAAGTGCTTCAACAAGTTATCAAAGGGCTAAAAATTTGGTTTAATTAAAGTGGCAGCAATTGAATCGGATTGAAACTTGATCACATTTGATTGAATTTGAAAATCAATTTGAATCGATCTCACAATCATTAATACTGAAGTGTTAGCTTGTTTAGATGAATGACTTTTTCAATGGTGAACGAAAGGTTTATCCAGTTCTTGTTCATTTTAAACACATCCCAAGACCCATCAAAATAAGAGTATATCCCTAGAATTAACATGACCATACTTTCTAGTTAAAGCATAGCCTTGGAGGCAATTGATAGAGGTTGGATTGGGTAAGTCTAAGTACCGTAGAGATGATATATCTTGACTGAAAACACTATTATTATAGCATGAAAAATACCCAAGTCTCTTTGGTCTTTCCGGTGAAACATGGTTGTGTATTTCTCGGCACGATTGATTTACATCTAACTCATTAATGAGGATAGCACAGGCTATTTGATGAGTTGAGGGCATGTTGCTAAATCAATGTTTGTGAGATCGATTCAAATTGGTTTTCAAATTCAATCAAATGTGATCAAGTTTCAATCCAATTCAATCCTTTTTTATTGCCATTTAAATGCATTTTTGGTTGAAACAAAGCAATATGCATTTTTTATTTAAAATTAATTGCTTGTACAATTAGAGATTGAAATGTTTGGTGAATTTAATTTAATTGTTGATTTTGATTAAGAAAATACCGGCATATGCTATTGAGGCAGTGTTGTATTGTTCTTGTTCTCAAGCGCCAGGAACAATTGTTCTTTGTTCTGTTCCGTTGTTTTGTTCCGAAAAATCGGAACTAGGAACAACCTAGGAACAGAACAACCCAAATCTAGAAAATGAGTGCCTAAAGTAACCCATTAACACCAGAGGGATTCAAGTCAAACCCTATTTTACCCAAAATCTGTTGATGAATTAAAATTTTCACCAAAATTGTTCTCAGTTTTAGTGTTTTGTTCCGCTAGAATTTTTTTGTTTCGATTTGTACTGTTCTTCTCGTTGTTCTTGTTCCTTGAAAATATTGGAACAATAGAACACTATATTGAGGCCACTTTAATTAAACCAAATTTTCAGCCCTTTGATAACTTTTTTAAGCACTTGTTTTTGATTCATTAGGGTCAGTGCAAATAGATTTGATGAAAAGTTTCATGGTCGAAATATTCTCATGGCTTCATTGTCTCTAAAGGTCCTAAAAGAGATGGACTCGGATTAGGGCCAAATGTGCGAGGTGAAAATTACCTCAATCAATAAGCTAATCTTTATGTTGATTTGGTTACAACTTAAAATGAGAATAATCTCCTCGATCTTACCTAAAAAATGAAATAAGAACAAACAGAATTGTATTGTTAATTAATTTGGTACATGATGGTGAATATAATCCCCATATCCTTCTCATGAAATTCACAATTTATTTTTTTACTTTGAGTGCATTTTCATTGTTTGAAAGGGGTCTTTTCTTGATAGCTAATAAAACATATTGATTTATCTTAGATTTTTGTTTCGATATTTAGATGAATTCATTTGATAATCTGATGATATAAAGTATAAAAGGTGATATTAAACCCATTACCAGCATCAGTTTATCAACGATTTTCATTAAAAACATTTAATTTCTAATCCTTTACTAAAACTATGAAAATGATTGCAACTCTCTTCTTTGTCTTTGTCTTTGCTTTTGCTTCTCCAGCTTTTGGTTTCACTTGTCCAGTTCCTGAGACTACTCCTGGTGCCGATATTGGCAAAGTAAGTTCATAATAACTTATTGTGTTTAGCCGATAAGTTTGACTTTATCTATTAATTTGGTGTTTTATTGATTTAGATTGCGGGTCAATGGAATCGAATCCTTGGACCAACTTTAACATTAAATAATACATTGACTTTCATTCCTCGAGAAGATCTAGACTTTGAAATTAAAGTCCCTGGTAATATTATAACTACGTAAGTAAGCATGTTTCAATTAGATAGCATTTTTGTAATTAAAATTATTCATCCAACATCTAGTGGTGAAAAGTTTGTCGCGTATTGGTATGGTAGACGTACTGATAATCAAAATTTACTTAACATATATTATGATGTGTCAAAAGGTAAGTAATTTTTGCTTACTTTATATTAAATGGTGTACCTCATTTATTTGACAATCTATTTACAAATGCTCCAGTTATTGTTGGTTTCAATGAATTTTTACTCGATGACTTTAGTCAAACATTTAATTTAAACTTCAATTCAATTTAATACAATAAGTGGGTAAAACATTACTTCTTGTTAAATAACAAGGAACACAAAAAGAGACGCAAATGTTGCTTCCAGTGCAACTCACAAAACTGGACTAACTGTTGGTTAATTTTTATCTTACTTATAAGAGTAAGAAAACGGTTATGAATGTCAATGTTTAGTTAAAGGAAAATTTCCAAGAAATTATGAAAGGAGATGAAACAGAGAAAAGGATCAAATTATCCTTTTAAGTCAAAGTTAATGATCATTACATGGTTAAGTTAAAGTACAGTTAAATGTGTTTAGCATTGGTTCGAGTCAGAGACAATTAGTGTGGTTTTAATTGTTAAATTAAAGATCATGTTATGTTTTGGAAGACAGAAAGATGACTCTGATTTCACTGTTAATTGAGTCTTTTTAATGATGTTGATATGTGGTTAGAAAGTGAATGAAATGAGCTTTCTAATGTTGTCTTCATCGTATCTCTAGTTGGTTTGGTTGAGGAGAAATAAGTTGATCTTTGGTTACTTATTTAATGATTGAAAAGATTGAGATTTTGTATTTCAACCGTTCATAACATGAGAACGGATTAAGTTGAAGAAATGAATAATATACTATTAAATAGCTCTTAACTAGCTCTGAGTAATGAAACATTAATCATAGTTCTATCATGAGTAATTCTGATTGTGGACATGGTGTCTCAGAATTCAGTTTTGGTGATGAAAAGTTAAATTTTGAAAAATCTTGGTAACCTTGTCATAGGTTAAGGTAGTGACATGTTATTTACGAATGGTAAGTTAGATCTTGTTTATAATGAACTAACTGGTCTATTTCAACCAACAGTTATCCTTTCCTTCAATGTAGTTGCTACTGATTACGATAACTATCTGGCTGCTTATCTGTGTTGGGTTGCGGATAGTGAATTTCTCTGTAAGTATCACTCAAGCTGACTAACTAGATGTTTCTTCATTTAAATTGATTAATACTAATTTAATTTTCATATTTTCACCGTCGATAAATTAATTTTATCCAGGAGTAACACCTTGAATGCTGACAAGATTGCCGAGTTGGACGCTTTGTTGACTGATAAAGTTGGCAATATTTTTGTACCAAGTATTAAAAAAGACTAAATATTGTTTAGTTTCGCAGTGATGACATTTACTTGGATGAATTGAATTTTCCCTGTAATGCTGGATAAATCTTAAAAAACTAAATTTAAATTAAGAAATTTTTTATTGCATATTCGAAAATTGTTTTATCATTTTACGATAACTGTTCCGTATTTTTAGCGTCTTTTTTATTCATGCGTAAAGGCGCTGTTCACTGATAATGCTTTCATCATAAATACTACTAGGTCAGCCGTGACGCGGCGTAGTCTGAGCTTGCGTCGCGATTTTTTTGCATGAAAAATGGTAAATGAATATTTCGAAATAACTTTTTATAGAATTTTTATTTTATTTTTAAAGAAAATACATAGTTATAGGTGCGGATTATGATAATGAAGCATCAACATTTATCAATTATTGTATAGATATGCAAAGCAATAGATTTACTCAGCAGCATGAGAACCTAATGCCAAAACCTTGCGTGAAATTCAAACGAATTTCTGCATATATTTTGATCGAAAAACCATCATATTTGACCTAGATATGCTATCAATGCGACTCTTTTCGAATGAATTTTCAAGCATAAGTCCGTCAAGAGTTTTTACTCTACTTAAAGCTACATATGATAGTCCTAAAGTTCTTTCATTTTCGCCTATATCTACCACTGCTCTATCAAGTGTCAGCCCTTGAGATTTTGAAGTTGAAGTTGGTTTAAAAGTTGTTAAAAATTTCCAAAAAACACGTTGATGTCGAAAAAAACAATTTTAATGGTTCAAAAACCTTACTTTTAATGTTGAAACACGGTGTTAAAGATGGTAGAAAAAGATGGTTTGGATACGATATAATGAATAATAAAATTTGCCGCGAGTAAAGCTATATATAGCTCCAAACCGGAAACGGAAATAATTTTTCGTATTTTCGTTGTTATCAGAAATGGAGCTACTATAGTTTCATCTATATGCCGAAATTGAAATCATTTGCTTAAGTAGTTTTCTCAAAATTGTCCAAAAAAAAATTTTTTTAGGAACCGTGCGCCTGATCTTATAGTCTGAGCGAAGCGAAGACTAATTACATGTAAAGCTTTGTCATTCGAGTCTCTCGTCGAATTAGTCATATATCTTCCATGTAGCACCAATAAAAATAAAATAATCAGTCATTGTAAA